ATGTGGAAAACCCCAAATTTGGGGAAAAAACACCAAAATTTGGGAAAAAGCACCACTTAAGGAACGGAATTTTGCCCTGTTGTGAAAATCGCTGAGAAAACGATTAAAAATTCCGGGAAAAAGCCCAAAATTCGGGATTTCACCCCAGAATTTTGGGATGAACAGCCTCAAAACCATCCCAGAAATAGAGAAACCCCAAGATTTGGGGAAAAAACACCAAAATTTGGGAAAAAAACACAAAAATTTGGGACAAAACACCAAAAACCTGATCCCTGACAGCCGCTGCGAAAATCACTGGGAAAACCACAAAAAATTCCGGGAAAAAGCCCAAAATTCGGGATATCACCCCGGAATTTTGGGATGAACATCCCAAAAACCACCTGAAATATGTGGAAAACCCCAAAATTTGGGAAAAAAACCACCAAAATTTGGGAAAAAAAACACCAAAAATTTGCGACAAACTTGACCTGAGAATTCCTGCGAAAATTGCTGGGAAAATGATAAAAAATTCCAGGAAAAGCCCAAAATTCGGGATTTCACCCCGGAATTCCGAGCTAAGCACCCCAAAACCATCCCAAAAAAACCCTGGAAAAGCTGGAATTGCCTGGGAATTTTTACCTGGATCTCAGCCCTGCTTTAGGGACGCTCTTCGCAAGGTGTACGGCAGAGCCGCAGTGAAGCCTTGCCGAGACACAGAGGAATTTTTGGGAATTCCCGGCGGGAATTTTGGGAATTTCGGGGTCGGGACGCACCGGATGTGGCGCTGGCGGATCAGCACTCGGGCGTGGTGGATGGATTTGGCCAATCCCAGTTTGAAAACCTGGGTTTGGAGCCGGCGTTCCAGGAAATCCTCGATTTTCAGCCCCAAAATGTAATCGAGTTTCATCTTGCCCTCGTCCAGGACGCCGATGCGGACCAGGCGGCGGAGGAGGGCGTTCCCTAGGGAAAAAACGAAGGGAAAAATGGGATTATTCCAGGGAAAAAACCAGCGGGAAAAATGGGATTATTCCAGGGAAAAATGAGGTTTTTGTGCCAGAAAATAGGAGGAAAAAATTGGGTTTGGTTCTGGAAAAAATGGGGATTTATCCTGGAAAAAATTGGGGGAAAATGGGGATTTATCATGGAAAATATTGGGGAGAAAAGGGGGTTTTATCCTGGAAAAAGTGGGTGGGAAATTGGGATTTTACCCTGGGAAAAATGAGGGTTTTATACCAGAAAATACGGGGAAAAAACTGGGTTTTATCCTGGAAAAAATGGGGGAAAAATAGGATTTTATCCCAGGAAAAATAGGGGGGAAAATGGTATTTTATCCTGGGAAAAATGGGGTTTTTATCCCAGAAAATGTGGGGGGAAAATGGGGTTTTGTTCTGGAAAAAATGGGGGAAAAATGGGATTTTATCCTGGAAAATATCTTGGAGGAAATGGGGATTTATCCTGGAAAAAACTGGGGAAAAACAGCTCGAAAATGGGGTTTTATTTCTCAAAAAAGCAGGGGGAAAATGGGGTTTTATCCTGGAAAAATACAATGGAAAAATGGGATTTTATTCCAGGAAGAATGGAGGTTTTATCCCAGAAAATATGGGGGGGAAAATGGGGTTTGGTTCTGGAAAAAATGGGGAAAAAATTGAGTTTTATAACAAAAAAAAACATGGAAAAACGGGATTTTTATCCCAGGAAAAATGAGAACGGAGAGACAAACTCCCAAAAATTCCAGGAAAAAATGGGAATAACAGCAAAGATTTGGGGAAAGCTCCGGAATGAAAAAGAAGTGGAAAAAAGGCAAAAAAGCCCCATAAAGAACGAAGAAATAGGAAAAAAAAAAACAAACAAAAAACTAAAAAAACCCTAAAAAATTAAACAAAAATCCTAAAAAATTCAAAAAAAAAATCGGGAAAAACCCCCAAAAAAACGGGGAAAATTCCAGGAATATGAGGAGACGGGAAATGAAGGAATTTGATGGATAAAAACCGGGATTTAGGGATGGAACTGACCCTCAAAGAGGCGCCTCGGGTCCTTCTCGTCCAGGGTGAGCAGCTCCCTCGCAGCCTTGCGGATCTTGGCCAGGGTAAACTTCACCCTCCACACCTCTCGCTTGTTCCTCAGCCCATATTCCCCTAAAAACCGGGAATTCCAAACTTTTCCCGGCTTCCAAAATCTTTTTAACCCCTAAAAATCTTTTTTTACCCGTAAAAAACCCTGTTTTTTCCCCTCATAAATCGCATTTTCCGCCCACACCATCTCAATTTTTCCTGTAAAAACTTCATTTTATCTTCCCAAAATCCCCTTTTTTCATCTTAAAATGCTCATTTTTCCCTCAAAATTCCCTTTTTCCCTCCAAAACCCCAATTTCCCCCCTCATAATCGTTTTATTTTCCCCCCAATCCCTCATTTCCTCTCTCCCAAATCGCTCTTTTCCCCCCCCACAATCCATTTTTTCCCCCCGAAATTCCGGTTTTTCCACCAAATCCTCTCGTTCCCCATCAAATCCCTTTTTTTTTCCCCTCAGAATTCCCAAAAAATTCCATTTTTCCCCTCATTTTACCGATCAGTTTTAACTCCTGGTCGAGCCGCGACTTCTCGAAGGGGCGCCTCGGGGTCACGTAGGTCTTGCGACACACCCAGCTCCGCGCCACCGGCATCGCGACTGCAGGAGGAGCATATCGCGATATCCCACCGGCCCCAAATTCCCAAAAAAATTCCCAAAATCCCCTCAAAAATTCCCGAAATTCCCCAAATCCGGGCGCCCCCTCACAGCACGTGGCGCGCTCTGCGCATGCGCGCTCTCCCCGCCCGCCAGGGCGCGCCCGCGCCGCGCTTGCGCCCTCAGAGCCCCGCGCAGGCCTCAAAGCCTCATCCGCGCCTAAAAGCGATTTCGGCGCTCCCGGTGAATCCCGGGGAGATCCCCGTGAGGACCGGGAAGGCTCCGGGAGCGCCGGGGGGAGAATTCCCGGTACCGGCGGCGGTCGCGGCCTCACCTCAGCTCCGCCGCCTTCGCGGGCACGGAAAGAACGGCGCGGCCGCCAGCGTCTCCTTATATATCCCGGTGGAGAACGCCACGCCCGGTTTCTTCACGCCAGCCAATCAGAACGCGCGGCGGGGGCGGTATCGACCAATGGGAGGGCGGGGCGGAGGAACCATAGAGAGGAGGAGAGGCCGCGATGTGCGCCGCCATGTTAGCGGGAGGGCGGGGGGGTGAGCGCGGAGTCCTCCAAGGGGGGAGCGCGGTGATTTCGGGGCGATTTTGGGCGATTTTGGGGATCGCGCGCCTTTCCAGGGGCGTCTCCAGACGTCCCTGAGGGTTGGCTCCGTTTTCCCGTCCCTCGATATCCCAGAAGTGCCCCCAAAACCGCCGCCCAAACCCGCCCGAAATTCCCTTAAAATCCCAGCGCGCCTCCCGGAGATCCCCAGAACCTCCCTAAAAATTCCCAAAAAACCCCCAAAATCCCCAAAAATCCCACAAAACCCCCGTTCCTTCATCCCCCTGTTGCCATGCCAACGGCGGAGAGCGCCCCGCCCCGCCCCTCCGGCTGTTGATTGACAGCCGCCTCAGCCAATCAGCGCCGGCTCCTGCCTGGGCGGGACCATTCCCTCAGCTCGGCGCGGGGGGGGCCGGGGGGGTGGGGGGG